AGGAACTGGCTACCTTTTCTCTGCATCTCCATTCCTGTAAGCCTACCCGGTGAAGCAAGCTTCTTTTGAGTTTGTACAGCAACTAGCACAAAGTCCTGATTTTGTTGAGCCCTCTAGGTACTCAACACAATAAGCAGTGCTCTTAATGCTGCTATCTCCTAATGGAAATTATGCTTTCATACTGACAGACTACAAACTTCCCTGACCTCAGAGAGTTCCTATTACTTTTATTTTTTAATTTGGCAACAAATTGGCGTTATGAAAACTGCCTTCGCTGACCTTTTGGTTGCTATATAGATTGTATAGACTCGTGGTCATGATTTGGGTTGGTCCAGATTCAGACCCACGACTGCTGGCATTTTGCATCACAGACATTAGGGCTGGAAAAGATCTCGCCAGATCATTGGGTCCAGCCCCCTGCCCAAGGGCCAGGAAGTCAACTGGGGTCAGATCACCCCAGCAAGATCTCAGCAAAGAAAATAGTGATTTAGACAAAAATCCCTTAGCTTCAACCAAAACTATGATATTTTTGAAAATTTTCTTTGGCATATTCTATTTCACACCTCTTTGTACAACACTGAGGAACGTTTTTTAAAAATATAAGTTGATGCAGGGAGGCTTGGCTTAGAAAACTAGATACTAAAACTCAAAACTAGGATGAACGCTCATGTGCCAATTCCCTATTTTGACTTTGGGCAAGTTCTCAAAGTGCCCTATATCGGACATCCAAGAAATGTGAGGTGATCCTGTTTCACTATTATGTGGGTCTTGCACCCCAACTACTGGGATAGGTTTGTTGTAGAGTCTTTACCTGATGCAATTTCAAATATCCGACCGCTGGTGACAGCTATCTGAACACAGCTACAAACAAGTAAAGAGAACAGCTTTGGAGACTGCCTCTTCCCCCTAAGAGAGTTCACACTGGCATAGGGCTAGGGTTGGACAAGAAAGGTCCAGCTGTGCGGATGGGTTTCACCCTCCTAAGGACAGGTCACTTTCTCCACCCTCTGGGTGGGTCTCAAAGTGGAGCTACATTTTAAAAACCAGAGTTCAGGGAAACCTCAGTGTCTTAAGGAAGAAAAAACATAACAGACAGCGATGGTGCCTGGAGCGCAGGATTACGCCCACAGAGTGTACCGAGAGCTCAGAGTGTACCGTTCCAGAACTGTTTACTTTTGTGCTTTCGTGGCTTCCCTTCTACAATTCTCACCCATAAATCACCATCCATTAAAAAAAAGTTTTAATTAATAAAACACACCCATTGCCTAAGCCTCAGGCCATTGACATTGAAACGATTAAACTATAGCATGACCTGTGCCAACTGGCAGCAAAAAGATCTTTTTCTGCAGCAACTCGCTGGTGCCATCGTTAAATGTATGCAAGGGTAAAAACCTCAACTGAGCATCTGAAGGCAAAGGGTGCACTTGCTTTATCCATTTCAGGCAAAAAAAAACCCCACCACATGCACAAAGGAGAGATAAAGGAGATTTCAGTGTCCAGAAAAGTGTCTTGACCACTGAGAAAGCTCTGCCCCCAAATATTCAACTCTAGGGACTCAGCACAGACATGGTGACAACCTAAATATGGAGGCCTATATCTGGCAGCGGCTATGGCAAATTAGCCACTGAATGACGAGTCTTACATGCTCTGAACAGAAGTATCTTTTAGAGCCCTTTAGAGCTCCACCTTTAGAGCCCACTGAAGCTTTTAAACAATCTTTTAAATGTAGCCCCAACTGAAGAGCAAAACACTAATCCAATTTAGGCATCAGAAGGCAGCCAAAAGAGCCATCTAACAGCTCGCCTGTATGAACCAGGAACAAGTGGGAGTTTATCTTACAAGTAAAGCAGACTTCTTTTCCCTACCCCACACCATCAGACCCCAACAAGATCTCTCTTCCCAATCTGTGGGTCTAAGCTAGAAGGCAGGGCGACTTCAAGAATATGGGGTAACTGACTGGCGAGCAAGGAAGGTCCTTTCCTGGACATTATCTGCATACCGCTCACGTCACCCACAGTATTTACCGTGACTTTAGAATGGTCGTGACCCCTAAATCCCAATCCAGACGTTCACTTCTGTACCAGATCTCAATACAGCCTCAGGGCTACAAGCCCAATCCTAACACATTCATTTCAACTCCCTTCCAACTACCCTGGAAGTTTCAACCAAATGCAGCAGGCACGCAGTAATCTAACACAGAGAATACTATTGTTTGTCTACTTAAAACAAGAAGCTTGCATCTCTTGTTTAAAAAAAACTAGAAGATCACAGCTACCAAGGGTAAGCGTGCCAGTTGCTTGTTGATAATACATTTGCATTTCAGACTTGACTTTCCCCTTTGAGGAGAATTATCAGAAGACTACAATGCTTTTTTGTGCATTCCAAACATCCAAGGCTCAAACTTATGCATACAGGCCCAAAACATGCAGAAAATTAGTAGGAACAGCTTTGCAGATTAATGTTCTTAACTGGAAGTTTTCAGAACCCAAATCAAAGTTGCCTCGACATTTTATATGAAAATTTGCATATTATAGTTTAGAGCAATGGTTTGGCATAATTACCAGGGTGGATTAAAAAAAAAAAAACAAAAACAAATTATTTTTTAAATAATAAAAAAACAAAACAGATTTAAAAAAATTTTTTTTTAAGTTAATCTTTTATTTTTTTGTTAAGATTTAAAAAACAAAACAAACCCCTATATATAGTTTTAATTTAAGATATGTTAATGCTCAGATATAGTCATAGATTATAAATTCTAACTTTATACTATTTAAGACAATATACCCATGTAACCCTTTTAGAAAAGTTTTATAAATAGGTCACAACAGGCCACAGCCAACAGGCTATATTAGGGGCCCAATCTTATGGGGTTCACAGTGGCTTCTCTATAGATTAGTAAAAGATTAAAGAAAACCACTCTACCCAATGAGACTTAGTGTTCAGTCTAGAAGATCCCATTAAGCATCTTTGTGATGTTTCGTTTCAGTTCTCAAACTGGATTCATCTCCAGAGATGACATCCTTGTTAACAGCAGTATATGGAGATGAGCGATAACAGACCCGATTACCGTCCCATTAGCCCTCTTGTCTCCCTGCAAGTTTGTGCACACAGAGTCCAGCCCGTCCCTGTGTCTAAAGTGCAAAATTTCAAGAAGTTCAATGAATAAAGGATATCAAAACAACAAGAGCGCACTTTCGGTAGAAAACAATGACTGAATTGAGGCTTCCTGACCAGTGATTTGAATCATTATTTAAATCGTGATTTTAAATGATTTTATTTAAATCAAACCCACTCTGATGATTGCCCAGAGAACTGGAACAGGCAGCATGTGTGAAAAAGGCACATTCAAGTTCCTATCTTCACCTGCCAACTCCCTTCCCCTCACTCCTCCATCACTCCTCTACCTTCAACAGATGACCTCCAACACAGAGCATGGCCTCTCTGACCTCATCTGCAAGGGTTTTGTCATGTCCAAATTGTATCCCCCTCAGAGAGCAGCCACTGCTGTGCAGATTTGTTTTACAGTTTACAGAGAAAAACAAAAGGTACTATTTTTTTTCCACTTTCCTCCATCCCCTCCAATTCTCTGTCCTGCAGACTGCAAGCTGCTTGGGGCAATAATATTGCTTCTCCAAGGCTTCTAATGTACCTTCCCAAATCGTGAATGCCACCAAGCTATTCAGGTTAATCTCTGTTAAGATTCTAATATCCTATTGGAAAAATCACTATTACTGGTATTTCCTTACCAATACAGCATCTAAAAAAAGTTGAAAATTACAAAGAAAAGCCTGCCACCTAGCAAATCATTCTGCTAGTGCAGTAAGACAAAAAGTGAAGTTCCCCAACTTTGTTTATTGACAATCTTGGACAACGGCCAACTCCTGGGGGCCATTTACCTAAACTTAAATTTGCTTTAAATAAAATGAGAATGACCAACAATCCTCGCTTCTACCCAGATGCTAAGTAAGTCTCAATATCGAACCGTCCATTGTATTTCAACTACAAAACACTATTACTAGTATAGTAACGTTTGCTTACGCTGGCTAGTCTTGGGGAGATTGGCCAGACGATGCAAGTTAATCGATGACAATTAGTGAACATTTTCCCCTGCAGATTTCACATTCACCTAGTTTAGCAATTCAATCAGGTTAGCTAGATGGAATATCCTCACCTCTTAATCACTACTCATTTCAGACTGAGCAAGTATTCCTCGTGTCTCTGGGGTGATAGGTAGTAAAAGGAAAGGTCACATGAAAAGTGAAGAAGTGCAGACAACCAAGAACAAGGAAATCTGAAAAACTATTACAAAGTTTGCAAAGCTACTGGACCTTGGATTCCACAATGGCCAGTTTCCCCAGTGCAAAAGATTCCAACTGCGATGGGTCTTAAGCATTTAGGCTGGTATCCATGGAGACCCTGTCACAAGCCTGCACCATCATGGCCCTGTCACTTCTGGGGTCTCAATGGACACCAGCAAGAGGCACAGGCAGGA